CTCTCAGATTCCAAGGGAGTTATTCATAGTAGTCAGGGTCTTATGCCCAACAGTGGCAGCAGAGCTGTGGTGTCAATAATGACTGACATGGTGGTGGCCATTGCTGAAAAAAGTGGGGCACACAGTCTATAAAGGCCTCCCTCTCCTGCTGGGCAACAATACAAGGGGACATAGGTGTGGGGGTTTAATCTCTGTATTGTGCCCATATCATTCATCACACTTTGCTAAGCACTCAAGCTTAGTGAAAAAGACCCTATGCTACAGAGAGAGGAACAGCAAGGATGTGGACAAAAATTTAGAATTTTCAAAGCACCAAACAGAACGTGCTTTGGAGAGAAAAGAAAGGAGACAGAGATGATCTATGGGCCCAGAGATTTTCTCCATCCTCTACAGGACTGATACTGAGTCTTTGAGTCCCAGCTTCTCCCATTTACCCCTGCTGCCAACATATAGAGAAGAGAAACAAACTAAATTACGCCTATAGCATCCCAAGCATCTCCCCCAAAACAAATAAGGCAATGCACATGCCAAAGAAGCTGGAGCCTATGAACACAAGATGGAAACAAGACAACCTAATCAATAAAATGGCAAAAGATCTAAAAAAACAAAAACTCTTTTCCAAGAAGACATATAGATGACCAACAGCCACATTAAAAAATGCTCATAATCACTTATCTTCAGGGAATGCAAAATGAAAGCCACATGGTATACTATTATAAATCCATGTGAATTACCCAAATTGATAAAACCTAAAAGAACTATTGACGAAATTTGGAGAAAAAGGAACCAGCTATGCAGACTGGCTCGGCCTCTTATGGAAACAGTATGGAGGTTTCTCATGGTGTTAAAAACAGATCCACCATATGATCCAGTAATTTTACCCTAGTATCTATCTGAAGAATACAAAACACTAATTCAAAGGGGTATGTGCATATATATACATATATATATGCATGTGCACATATGCACATATGTATGTATACACATGTACATGTATGTATGTGTATATACATACATGTGTGTGAATATACACACATATATACACAACTCAATTGCCTACAATTGCCAAGTTATGGAAAAAAACATAAGTCTCAATCAAACACAGCTAAATTGATAGAGATGTGTACTTATAACTAGTGGAAAACGGCTCATCTATAAAAAAGATAAAAGTTTCCAACTGAGATATGGCAATGGCTGGGGGGATTATGCTAAGCACAATACCAAGAGGTGTGAACCTATACCCCTAAATTATGTGCAATGTTATAAACCAACATTATCTCAATAAAAAATACAACTAGAATTTCATTATGGTTAGCATTTATAAACATTATCATTTCCATTACCTTCAAATTATATAAAATGTTCTTTCCATAAAATTTGTGAAACATTATCAAGAAAATATGACCTACATAAATGCCCTTATCCTTACTATGTACAATGGTAATATTTGAAAAAATAATTGCTTTCTAAGTCTTAATAACAATAAACAGAAAATGAAATTATAAAACAAGATACCATTTACAACAAATTACTCTTCTAAATACTTACAATTATTTATTTAATTTATATTATAACCATACTGTAATTAGCTTATATGGGTCAATAAAATTAATGAAAATTCATTGGCTACCTTAATATTTAGGAAGAATTTTAAATTGGTAATGTCAATATTAGCTAATATGCAACAAAACAATATGTAATATGATTAGCAATATGCAACATTATTACATTTTACTAAAACATCCTGTAAAGTAATAATATAGTGGTATCATTTATTTAAAATTGGTGCACAGGTAAATAATGTGAGTGTAGTTGCAGAGTAAATATTTGTAAGATGCTTATTATGTTATGTTATATCCAAACTGATTTTAAATACACTAAAATATTTGTTATCATTTCTAGAAAGATCCTTTATGCAAGATTTATGTTATTTTGTACAATATCAGTTCTACAATATCTAAAACTGAAAGATGGATATTTGTAAGATATAGTAATCAGTAACAAAAAGAGACATTTGGACAACGAGAAAGAGAAGGGACTGACAGACAGCTAGTTACCCTAGTGAGGAAACTGCTGTTCTTGTTGAGACAGATGTCAAAAAAGAAGGACTCCAGTAAAGATTCTTATATAAAAGAAAAAGGAAAGATGGTAGAGTTAGTTTGGCTATGAACTATTATATTTAAACAGAAGACACAAATTTTTCCCAAAAGACTTAGGGAACATAAAAGAAACAGCTTTCAGACTTTAAAGACCCAGTCTAGCCCTTGTCACTCAATTCTGAACTCCCAAATGAAGAGCTGGACAGACAGATCTACTATCATGTGCCAGGAAAGTATTAGAATAATATAGCCCCTTCTGACATGCTTAGGAAGTATGTTTCTAAAATTCAGATGTTCTAATTTTAAATGCTATATGCATAGTTAATTCCCCATCATTTAAGTGGGAAAAAGTATAATGCATTGCATATCTATCTGTTCTAAAAATATAAGTAAAAACACCAAGAAAGGTATTGTTCGCTGTTGTGTTTGCAAGGGCCACATATTATTTTCTAAGTATGTATTTATTAATGCATACAAGAACGGGGTACAGGCCAGAGGAATGGGGGTGAGAGGTTTCACCAGAGACACAGTGGGAAACAGTACAGGCAGATCTACTGAAATACACTGTTGAGGCTCAGAGCAGTGGGCAGGTCAGGAGAGGTCTGCCTTGCCATGTGGGTCACCTCCCAAGGGCCACATATTTTAAGTCTGTGATGTCTATCACTATGAATAGTTGGTCTTTTTCAGTTTCCATTGTTGTCTTCCTTATACTAACATTACATATTTACAAGAACAAATGTAATAGTGAATACTTAAATGAGGTATTTGAAAACTTCTTCAACTATTTTTCAATCTGTTCTTCAAAGACAGCTCTCATTGCTCAACAATTCCCCTTTGTCCTCTCTTCTACTTACTTTACTTTGTCTCCCCAATTTTTATTACTAGGTGCACCTATTTTTCAAATTGTTCATAGACAAAATAACAATTGTATGTGAAAGACTGAAGAAATACATTCAGGGCAAATGCATAATAAATGTGGCTTGTAGTGCATTTGCTGCTAACCAAAGCATGAAATTTGAAAAAAATTGTTGTCAACCAATTGTATTTGGGATGTAATTTTTCATGTACAATGCACTGATCATAAAATATTACAGTGACTTATGGGTAAGTTAAATATATTTTCAATATAGTTATTAGTGCCTAGCCAACCCCTTCTCCCCAAAAAATTTAAAAAAAACAACAGAAAGATACAAGTATTCTATGTATTTGTTTAATGCTAGTTGTTAAAACCACATTAAACCAAATCAAACCATCACCTTTTGTGAATCTTAGTGCCATTTCCTTACTCTAATTATAAATATGAAGCCAGCAAACTTAGCAATTAGCTAGTTTAGATGTTTTGTGAAAACAATTTCTTGGAAATAGGAGAGGCAAAGGATTTCTAAACTCTTTCTCTGAACAATGGATAGAATAAGACATAAGAAAGACAAGGATACATATGATTTTAGTAAATTTTCAGAATACAAATAATTTTATAATATCACCAGAAAGGATGAGGGAAATGAGATTCCTGAAGGCTGACAGTATGCCAAGTGTGTCTGAAACATTTTATTATTATTACCTTAATTACCTTTCAACTCACTCAGAAGTAAAGCCAATTTAGACAAGGAAAATATGAATTTGACAGATTAATGGATCAGGCAACATTGTGTAGGTAATAAACAGGAGAATGATGCAAATTCATCCCTTACTCAAACAGAGGCATGTTGAAGTAAGCATATTTACTTCAACGAAAGTAAATTATAGAACCAAGTAAAATTAGCCTAACTTAGGACTCCGCTTGAGTTTGTAAGTCAACATTCTCTTCAACTTCTTAAACTAGTACCATATAGTTTAGGGAAATGAGTCATAGAAAAGAGGTGCTTATCTACTTTGTGTCCATTGCCAACATACATTGTTTCAGATGTATTTATTATCTTTTAAATATATTTTTTACATCATTCTTCATTTTGTACATTTTTCATCTCAGTTGTAATCCCCGTGGACTTCCCACCACAATTCACCCGTGTGCCATCCATTCTCTAAGTAAAATTTGGTTGTTTTATTCTACGATAAGCTTATAATTCATATTTGGAAATAACTGGATGATTTAAAATACATACACACACACACAGACACAAGTAGGACTTGATACCTGTCTTCATTATACTTAGAGTATTCATTAAATGTCTTCCAATAACATAAAGAACGTGATAGGGGTTATATTTGCATATGGACATTCAGAAGAGGAATCTTGACTTTTTTCTTATTAAAATTCATAAAATAGTTATTTTTACCCATCATCATTTAGCAATTAACAAAATTGCCATCAAAATAAGCTCTTAAATATAACTTTGAGTCTAGAGACTCAATAATAATTTAATATTCCTTTTGCTAATAAAATCCTGAGTCTTATTTAACTAATTAGAATCATTGATTCCAGATTCAGAAGCATCATCTTAAATATACACATTTTGCCTCCTCTTGTCATTTCTATTTTAAGGTATCTTTAATGGAGTTGTTAGTCTATGCACATTAATATAGATGAAAAGTCTGCATGAAATAGAGTCATTTCCAAAAGTTTAATGGATATAACAACTACTTGTGGAATGTAATAACACTTACCTTGTTTTAAGTGAATATCCCAAATGTTGTAGTGAGAAATTAAGATTCATAAAAATTTTTTAAATACATACATATTACTCATATCACAACAAAAATATTGTATTATTAAGGTATTCATAAGTGAACACTTTTGGAAGCAATTTTATGAGCAAAGGCTTACAGTTAATTTTTTTAGTTTCAAAATAATTTTTGTCTTCATGAAAGCAATGAATTACTATGTACTTAAGTCACTTTTTAATCTATCCCTTCCTTCCCACCTTGCACCTTATAAAAACAACAAACTAAATTAAAATGTACCTTTTGGAAGAGGCACTTCTTGTTCTTTCACGGAGTGATGGGATGGTAGACAACTCTTCGTAAGCACAATGTCATCCAGAGCAATGTCACCATGATGGCCTTGCCCAGTTCTCCCTTCAAATTCAAGGTAGAAGTCTTCATCACCAGACAGTGAGAGTTCTTTTCGCTGCCAGAAATTGCCTTGTTCTGCAGTAAGGTTTAGTAGAACCTTCTTTTGATCTGAGACTGATACCTGGATCAAGGTGAGTGATCCAATACCATTTCCATACATGTGATAATAAAAATTTATCTGCAAGCAAGAGTGGAAATATTTTATGTAATTAGTAAAATTAATTCCACTTTATTTCCAATTATATCACATTGCCTTTCCCTTTCTAAATGGAGGAAAAGTAAATCTGTGTATGTTATTGCTCTGTAAGTACTCTAACACTGAGTGAAGTTAGAAAGCCTTAAATCTTATTTTGTGATATATAGAAGAAAATGTTTAAGAATCAAAATCAAATTTCGTGAAGAAAATGAGCAAATTTTTTTCTATTATTTCTAAAAGCAGAATTTCTCAATAAAATCTCAAAGATCACTGTCAAAAGTGAACTTTTTTTTATCACATGTCTGGAATTATTTAAAAATCAGGCATTATATAAAAAGACTTTCCACAATTACAAAATGACAGGGACTGAAGAAGATAATGTTCAATTTTATAAGATAAATCATTTCTTCAGCAGAGTACTATTGCTTCTTCCAGTATATTCTTACACTCAAACTACTATTTCAGTTCTACAAAATCCTCAGGTTCAACTATATATAGCAAAACACTTAAGCTTTTGTCTTGTCATCTCTGTGAGTGAAGAAAAACTAATTGTGAGTGGTCTTCACACAGGAAAAACATTTTTGAAACACTAGTAACTATTATACTCTAGAGAAAAAAAAAGAACATACTTAAAAGGGTGAAGAATGTGATTAAACAATATATACAATACTTCCCTCCAAAAGCATCAACTAATAGGTAGTAAGTCTACCCAAACCTTCTAGCTGTAAAATTTTCAGATACTATTCAAACCATTTCTTCTATTGACTTACCTTTCCAATATGGCTTTAAAAACTATTGTGACCTGCTTAAGGAGAACTGGTAAAACCTAATGACATGATTTGTTAGAAAGAAAAACAAAAGGACCTGGGGCCAACATATTCAGATTAATAGGCACCCCAAAAATTTGTCCAGTGATGTAGTTCCCATGTTGGATCTCTTGCAGTCATAAGTATGGTCTGAGCCATGATCTGCCTTGTAATGTCTTGTGTAACAAATAAGACACATATAGCTTATGTAACAGTGGATACTTTACATTCTTCTTGAAGTCATTTTCTGTTGAGGCCATTAGGTAACAATGCAGATAAACATCACTTACATTTCTACAGAGAACAAGTGATGACAACATGATCTAGGCACAGGCCAATTCAAGAAAGTAATTCTACTAGGTTCTAAATTCTTCTGAATAATCATTTGCACTGGAAATTGCAAAATTACACAGAGGTTTGATTTCTTCCTTCATCAGTCTATATCCCTCCTGCCATTCTTAAACGGCAGAAAAATCTCAGAGTGGATGTTTTCTGCTTGAAGGTATCACATAGGTCAAGTGACAGGATTTTCACGAAAAGTTGGGGGCCACTCTGCTGACCTGATAAACATTTTCTATATATGAGAGACCCAATCATTCCAGTGTGACCTTTCCTTACTTCTTTGTATTCAATCTATATCATAAATATTCATAAAATGAACCATTCATCATTAATTTTTTGACATTTCTTCTAGGCATACTTCATTATTCTCACACAGTTGTTTAAACAGTGGGGACTGCAGTTCTGGGAGTAAAAAAATTATTGATGGATGAAATCTTTAGTTGCTAGTTTGGGGGAAAAATCTTATCAGCATTTTCAGAAGAAGTATCTAAATAGTAAAGCTTATAAACAAAACTGGAATTTTATACATTTAATGATTAATTTTTAATTAGCTTCCTAAGCCTAAAATTATGTTGCATCTTTCAAAATAGCATGAATACACAGAGATAGATTTACAGTTATAGACGCAACATATATAAAATCAAGTATTTGGGGGATTTCACTTTGAGGAATATCAAGTGATTTGGAAGGTAGTGAAAACAGAAATATATTTGATTAGAACTCAGCTTCTTGCCACAGTAGTTAAAGTTTAATATTATTCTGTATGATTTGTTACATATATTCTACACTGCTAGAGTTTAGACTTTAGAGTTATCTGTCTAAAACTCTCATTTGATCATGACATGCTTCCAGGAAATGTTGTCCATCAAGCATACCTGAGGAGAGAGATCAGTCCCTGGTAGTTAAAATATGAAATTAAGATGACATAGAAAACACCTATGACAAACTAAAGTTGTAACATACATTAACTCTGTGACAGTGATAGATTACTTTGACACAGAGGGACAAGTATCTGTAATCAGTGAATGTACAATTGGGGAGATTATGAGCATAGATTTTGAGTCTCTTTGCCAGGGTTAGTGCTCTACTGTGGAGGTAGGTATATAAACTATTATAATTTGAAAATAATAAAGATTTCAATCATGATATTGTCCCTCAATCTGATTCTTTAATAAGCTAGCAACTTTCTGAATACAAATTTAATCTGCTGGCCTGCCCTGGTGGCACAGCGGGTTAAAGCACAGCACTGAGAATCTAAAGCCTCTTCCTCATGAGTTTGATTCCAGCCTGTCCCGGAGGTGACCACATGGCATGGCAGACCTCTCCTGACCCGCCAGCTGCTCCCCTCAGCAGTGTACTTCACAGATCTGCCTGTTCTGTTCCCACCTCTGTCTCTGGTGAAGCCTCTCGCCGCCCCTGAGCCTCTGGCCTGTACCCCAGTTCTGTATGCACAAATAAATAAATCTTAAAAACAACAAAACAAAAAACAAATTTACTCTGCTTATGGTGTTCAGACATTGGGAAACATGCTAGTCAGAATATGTGAATTCATTATTCAATTTATCTATATATCTATAATATATAGAGACACATTTATTTATATATTAGTCAATCAGTTAATCAACCAGCTAGATTCTTATGCAGTCATCTCTGAGAGCTTAATTTATATCACATGTAAAGTTGAATCCATTTCCTTGCTACCTGTCTCAAATCCTATGAGGCATAAAAACACAATCCAGCAATCTATAAATAGGGAAAAGTAGAAGCTACTGTAAATACACAGTGATTCTCTGAGGCTGCTATAAGCCTGTTCTCTGAGCAATTCAGTTTTCTTTACACTTTTATTACTCTATGAACATCTTCTGCAGGCATCCACAGAATGGTCCTGTCATCTTTTCTTCCTGCCCATAGAAGTCCTTTTAGGATCAAGTTCAGTCTTCCCTTTTCCCTGAAGAATCTTAAACTATTTTATCATGGCTCCAACTATCTCTAATATTAATTCCTAGAAATATTTCTGTACTACCTGTTTATTATTTGTCTAATAATGAAATTCCCATAATTCTAATAGGTACGGAACTTACATGAAAGTTGTTGGTAGTTTATTTTTTCTTTACTGTACCATTCATGGCTATGGGTGAAAATTTTCAATGGATCACACAATTTCAGCACATATGGAATTGATCTACAGCATAGCTCCTCCCCTACTATGCATACTTGATGCTTTCCCTTGCTCCTTCCACTACAAAACTGAATACATCAAACCCACTGTTGCTTATCCTGGCTATTCCATTTTGTGTATCTGACTTTTCCCTATCAGCATTCGCTCACAGTATAGCTGCTTCCTCTCCATACCTTGCAGTTTTTGCTTCTTCTACTTATAACCGGAGATGAAATTCTGGCTGTTCTCATGGGCTGCTGAGGAAACAAGCTCTTGATAAAGATGTAATGACCAGAAGAATCTCGCAAGGTATGGTCAGCAGCTGGTTCTGTGCCGACAGATGGGACACTGCTAGGTTTCAGAATCCATTCAAAGTCGTCATCCTGCGCCTGCTCCCAGGAACAAAGGTCAAACTCAAAATCACAGCGTTCACTGGATGGACCTGGAAAATATTTCCCAATTGAAAGTAGAAAGAGGCAATTAACCGACACTAAGACAAGCGTTACAAAATTATAGTGATCCCACCACATCATATAACATCAAAATCTACATTATTATCTTAACAGACACATTAAAGTAGAATATTTTCATTTGTTACATACACACATCTATTTCCATGAATGTGTGACTTTATTTCTCCACATAGATGACTCCAGTCACAAAATAAATAAGAAAATATTTAGCATTGCAGACATTTTCTCCTCCAAATACCTATTTGAACAAAGTAATTTATGTCTCTCTTCTCATTTCTGCTTCTCAGGTCTTTGTAGGGAATTTGGGCAGTTTATAGTCTACAGAAGAGTTTGAAATGGGAAATGGTGCCTAAAGCAAAAATTATCAGAAATCATTATATTATTTTAATTTGTTTAGAAGTCTGAGATCAAGGTGTCAAGCTCTCTCTGATTGCTGTAAGGGAGAATACATTCTTGCTTCTTTTCAGCTTCTGTTGGTTAACAACCACCTGAGCATTCCTTAGTCATGAACACTTTACTCCAATCCATGGTGTTCTCTGTGTGTGTTCACATCCTCTTCCTTCTATGGGTGTTTATGTTCATATTCCTCTCTTCTTATAAGGACAGCAGTCACTGAGTTAAGGATCAGTTAATGAGGTATTGCTTCACTCTAATTTATCAGACCTGCAAATCCTATTTCCAAATAAGATTAGAGTCACAAGTTCCAGGTGGCCAATGTTTCGGGAAGAAATAATACACCCCAAGACCAGAATGTTTAATCATATCATTAGAAAATAATAATAATTTGACATTTTTTATTTTACTTTGTGTCTTACATGTTCATAGAGTATCAGTCATAGAGTATCAGTCATATTAATGGTATTCTTACATAATCTTGACTTTAATGGAAATAATTCCATTGTTTGCTTGCTTAATTTGATAGATCATATCGAATATGTTTAAATGCCATTGTAGGAATATTATCCAACATGGTTTAAAACTTAAATATTTTTAGCCCTATCACTTTATATTTTTCAGTGATTTATTTAACGACATTAATAGTTTACTACATTAAGACACTCTAAATTTTCTAAAAGCCTCATCTCAAAGTGCTTAGTTATTTTTTAACTGGAGTTAGTTTGCTGGTATTTCCAATTTTGCACATTTACATTCACAGGGCATTTGAATGATAGTTCTCTTATCTAATTTTTGGAACCTTCACTATCAGTGATATATTAACATCATAAAATAAAGTATTTCATTTCATATGGCTGAAATAGTTCTTTGGACATTATCAATTCATTAAAATGCTATAGAATTCAACAGCATCTATCCCAGGAGACAAAATTGCAGGACATACATTATAACTTCATTGATAGTTAATGGTCTATTCAGGATTTCTGCTTCATTAGTTAATTTTGGTCATTTTTCTCCAAAAAATAATTAACCATTTCAACCTAGCATTTATCTGTCTTTGTATACTCTTGGGTTAACATGTCAACCTTTATTTATATGTCCTCCTTTTTTAAAATTAAAAAATCGGTGTATTTTTATCTACTTTGAAAAGTGGTATTCACTTGTATTTGTAGTTTTGTCTTGTCTTTTTGTTTTCCAAATCAGTACTTCTTTCTTCTGATTTGTTTACTATTATTTTATATTTTGTGACTTCTATTTTGAAAATAATTTTAGAATTATAGAAAAGTTACAAGAACAATATAAATATCTCCCATGTACCCTTTAATAAAATTGCAAGTGTCTGTATTTTCCCCACTGGTCTATCCATCTATGGATGGATATCTACACAGGTTTTTTTTTTTTTTAAATAGTGAGAAGTATGCTCATTATTATGCTCTTTTATCTTCATGTTTATTTCCTATAAAGAAGGATGTGTTCCACTGTAGCCACAGTAAGATCACAAAACCAAAAAAAAAAAAAGAAAGAAAATAATAACAGTACTAGTATCTTAATCCATCGCCCATATTTAAATTAATCAATATTTATGTTCTACATGGGTATCTTTTCCTCAGTTAAGAATAACACCCAAGATCACATTTTGTACTTGTCATGAATCTTTAGTATCTTATCAGCAAGAATTTTTCTTCCTTTATCTTCTTTAGCCATGTTATATTCTGTGAGGACAAGTGAGTCATCTGATCCTTACAATTACATTCAGGTCATTCATTTTAACAAATTTACCACAGAAGTAATCAGAACCTTCTCTGTACACAATATCAGGAGGTACAATATTGATTGTACCTTGATATTTAGTTTGAATTATTGGTTAAGATGGAGTCAGTCACATTTCTCCACTACAAAGTAATTCTTTTTACCTAAATAATTACTCACTTATATACAAATACTTGGGACTGCAAAAATAGGTTGTCCTCATCAAATATTCAGTGATAAATATGCTATTTACGTGGTAAAAAGAAAAAAAAAAAACAAAACTCCGAATGAGTCTCTGTATCAATGACAAATGACAAAGTTTAAATAAGTTGTGGGTTCTCAGATCCATACTGTTTTCCTTTAATCTATGTCCTCTACTTTATATACTATTTTTATTATGAAGTAAAAATAACATTTGATTTCTCTGCCAAATTGTGCTTTTGGAGTATATATTGATTTACAGAAAATTAAAATAGCAGCTTAAGTGGATCCAAATGCTGTAGGAAGTAAGGACAGGATGAAGTAATTGATTGCTGATGAGCCTCTACAGTGCTGGTGAGATGTGTGGTGAGAGAAGACTGCTAGCTCATACAGATCTTTGTTCCTGAGTCATGGAGTCAGAGGAGCTGAGAAGTCATATGTTCCAGTGTGTGAACCAAATAAGAGGAAGGGCCCTCTCATGGCCCCACACGCTGCCCTGAGGCCCTCCTTCTCTTGGCTGGTGCCCTCTGTCCCACTTCACACGACAAGTCCACTGGAAATAGAAATCACTAAAATTGAGAGTCTTCTCCATAGAATTGCCTTATTTCTTGCAACTGAAAAGAATACAAGCAAGCTGATGAAGACTGTAGGCATCATGGTATACTTAAAAATGAGACTCCTGCTTTAAAGATTTTGAATTATTTCTTTAGGTAAATCTAAGGTTAGCCTTTTCCCATAAGTTAATTTCAAAAGTGATTACCATAGTAATTAAAAAGAAATCCTACCTTACTGTGAGGGTTAGTGCCTAACAAAAATGTGTAGCAGGTAATTTTCATTTATAAAGAATATTTTTTCCTCCATCATATATAGTCCTTGGAAATGCATGACCTAATGTAATCATAAGGATCATATATAGTTCTTGGAAAGAGTTCAATCTTTTCGTTCTGTATGTTATTCCTGGGTGGCATATTTCTATCTTATGATATTTTGGAAATTTTCTTAAAGTTGTGATACCTTTAATTAACCCCCCCCCAAAAAAAATACAAAAAGTGAAAAAAAAAAACTGAAAATAAGCCTAAATTCTTGATTGGGTGTCACACTTCTGAAGTTGGTTGCTATGGTGGTTTTTAATTTTCTTTCAATCTGGTTCTTCTGGGTTTAATTAGCGCATCCACGTTTACAGTATACAAAGGATAAATAAAACCACTCATAATTCATATAGCAGATTATAAGAGTATTATAATTAAAAATAACATTTAAGACCAGGAACGTAGTTGAATTTTTAAAGTACACAATGAACATAAGTAAATACATAAAAAAAATCATGCATGACAATAGTGAATACCAAAATTTGGCCTTCTTTCAGTGTGTGTTCTAACATTTTTTTTACTTACTGTAGGGAACTTAAAAAGTTTTTTCTTCCAATGTAATATCTGAATTTAATTTTTTTTCTCTCTACCCACACTGAAATGAGTAGCACCACTGTCTGACCTCCAGTATATCATCATCCTTTCTCAAACACAGATTGAATTCTTAGAATACCCATAATATTGGAATCCAAATACAAAGAGTTCAAGCAAACTCTAATAAGAAATAAGTTGATATTCTAATTACTAGGAAAATGTGTTAAGTCATATTTTGGGAAGTATATTATTGTTAATGATATTAATAAAACTCAAAAGCATAATATCTGCTTTGTTTGACAGATAAATGTATATGTTTGTGAGATAGTTAAATGGAGATGGAAATGAAAAAAATATAAAAGCACTTGGCACAGAAAATAACTTAAAAAATAGCATAAAATTGTCTTAAATATTAATGTAAAATTCAAGATTAGTCAATCATCTTTGTACAGTTCATATATTATTAATAAATAAGAAATAATTCATAACTGAAGGACTAGTTAAATGATATAAATAGGATTTTTATGACTTTTTAAAAGATCCATTTTTAAACAAAGATGTCATGATAGCTTAGGCAGGCAGTGAACCATAAACTAGGATCAACTTTGCCAGTACCAATGTTATCTGCTTTGATAAAAACTTCACCATTCCTGTAGGTAACTTCTAAAAAAAGCACTAAGGTATGTCCTACTTACCCCTCAGGACTTCTGTGAAGTAAAAAAAGCACTAAGGTATGTCCTACTTACCCCTCATATAGAGATTAGTACATAAAAGAATCTTGAAAGTTAGAAGTTCTATAAAAAATATCTTACTGAACTTGTTGATATTACAGATTTAGTTTAAAGTGGTAAGAAAAAGATCAGACACTAGTAATCTAGCTCAGAAAGTATTACTAGTGGTGGTAGAAGTGAACAATTTGTATTCACTTCATTTGCAATGAAATGGAGCAATAATTATACTTTTTTTTCAGTTGCAGAGATTTGCTTGAATGAGTACATATGGTCCATTTAGCTAAGACAACTTTAATATGTAATAAGTGCTGCTTATTATGAGTTGTTCTCCCCTCAAAATATTAAACACCTGATTTAGATCTCCTTGAGATCATTTTATATAATGCATATATTACTTGGGTATTAATATATTTGATTTTTAATAAGTTACATCTCATAAGTGACACAAAGTACTGAAGCTCGTCTACAAACTTGAATTGACTTTGGTGAATGTTTTGCTTGTTTTATTTTTTGCCCCAAAACCATCTTTCATAGGAGAAATACTTATTTCTATTCTATCCTTGACGGCACCTGTTTTCCAGTTTATCTTCAATTACCTCACACACACACACACAGTGCCATTGACCAGTTTTAAGTGAATTATATTTCTATGTTAAGTATGCTAGGAGAAAGAAGTACATTTAAATAGCTAAATCAATGTCTCTGTCTTGACTTGCCAGCTGTACCTACTCTGTATGCTTTAGAAAAGAGGTCAGTCATAGGAGACAAAGGCAAAGGGAAGAAAATGGAACCCTACTACTTACTGCAAATGAAAGCAGCTTCATCGGAATTATCAGCACAATCATTCACAAAATCACACAGCTTGTTTTCTGCAATGCAGTGTTTGTTAGCACATGTGAATTCTTGAGCAGTACATTTTCTTTCTGGGCTAAGAAGAGGGGAACAACCTAGAAATGAAATATCATCCACAGCTACATCTCCCATGTAGCTGATACCACGTTTTGCTCTGAAAATAATCTAAAAGGGAAAAAAAAAGACAACTTAAATTGAAATTAAATGCTCAATATAAGAAATTATAACTTTTTACTAGGATTATTGAGCCCAAGAAAACACAGGTACACAAAAGGTACTCAAGTGTCTGGATTACATTTAAACATTTAAATATGTGATATAATGCTCTGTGAATAAGAAACTCAATGAGTGTTTCATTATTAATGTGTTTATCTGCTATCCCACAGATACAATTTCAGTTGCCTGTCATGTCCAATTGATCAAGTCCTCATTTACATCCCAATGCTCCTTTCTATGTGGTTAAGATTCATTCCATAGACTTCAACACTGAAAGTGATTAAACTGTTTTAGAAGAGTAATTATGATACAAATTTTCTCCAGTGGAATAGAATCAAGGTCAATTATTTTGGAAAATTTTGGAAGAAATGTAGCACAGCAGTTAGAACCCTGACTTAGAGCTGATTTGATGTGTTTAAAGCCCATGTCTGCCAGTGTGTGATGATGAAACTAGGGTATGGTAACTTCCAGGTATTTGTATACTCTCTTCTATAAAATGGGAGAAGATAGTAGTATTCACCTTATACACTTATTGTGAAAACTAAAGGATTTTAAATATATTTAAATTCATAGATAGCACTTAACACCTGGTAAGTACTATGTGTGTGTTTATTCTAGTTATGCATTTTTTATAATTAAAGATGAAATATAAATTTGAGGGTTCCTAAATAAAACTCTAAAAACTAATCAGTAATGATGATTCATCATATACTTTCTAAAAATATGTTACATTTTTACTCGAAGTTTAAAGGCACTCATCTTCCTGAGGCTAAAGAGAATGGTAGAGTGAAAATGGAAGAGTCACAAACAGTATATCTAACTAATTATTCTGTCTCCAGTGCAGTAAAAGGTGTTTAGCACATAGTCAGTGCATGGGTTTTTAATTGAAGGAATGTCTAACATCAAATACTCACAACCCATTCATATTTAGTTTTAAGATTCAAACATGGTATAATTTGGAGTGCTTAATATTTCTCCCTCTTAAAAAATCCCTTTTAATGTTATCTTGAACATAGTTTTGCTGTGAAAATAATATGTTTGCACAGGACTAGTTAAGAATTCAGGGCACAGAGAGTAATAGTCTTTGCACGAGTTTGATCCCTGGCCAGCAAGCTGACCCACATGGCACAGTAGACCTCTCCTGACCTGCCAGCTGCTCCCCTCAGCAGTTTATTTCAGTTAATCTGACTTTCCTGTTCTCCATTCTGTCTCTGGTGATCCTCCCACCCCTGCAGCTCTGGCCTGTACACCAGTACTTGTATGCATATGTAAGTAAAAAGTAAATCTTGCTTAGAAAAAATTTCAATGCGGGAGGGAAGCTTATGACTGGCAGGTGCACAACCATTAGATATTCTTGCTGAGAAGTCCTGTTGCTTCTGCTAAAACATCTGGGGGTTTGAACAATCACACCTTTTTAATGATAAATTTCACATTGTGTAAGGTGGTTAAATGCTTTCCAATCTTTTCTTCTTCAGGTTAAACTTAATTTGTATCAATTTCCTAAATTATCTACAAATAACAAGAAAACTAGAGTTGAGGTAGAGGCTAAAAATTCATGTAGATTTTATCCTACTCTTAGAATCTACATGAAGAAAACTAGCGCCACATATTTTTTGAATCAAGTAAGCTATTGTGTTTATTAAGATTCAGTAACACAATGTACTTTAAAAAGTTTGGATTTTTAATCAGAGTTGAAATAAATTAATGTTATTGTTGTTGGTTCTATGGTCTTTGACAATATATTTGTAAAATAGGGTAGAGGAATTATTTCTATACCTATGAAGCTGATTGTGGAATGAAGAAGGTACTTGTCATTAAAACTAAATGTTTTTGGAAGAACGGTTATATAATTAAGAGGCATCCAGACATTATGAAACTATAAATTTCTTATAGAAAACTTCAGATGGAATTGTAAGATTACATGCAACATGTAAGAGAGGAATAGGTAAACAAGAAAACTGAGTGGAAGAAAGAAATTAGGATTAAAGAAAACAATCAGAAAACCCAACCATAACCTAATTATTGGATTACCAACCTGTATATGTAAGTGAACACCTAAAAATACTTCTACTTTTTTCCACTGTGCACCTTGCTGTCCACTCTGAGCCCACAATTTAGAAGTAACATTATCTTTTTGGCTTAGTACCTGCAGAAATAAACCAAGTAACAAGTATGAAATATTTTGCCTTGATAAATTTTAAACATGTAGAATTTTCCCAATATTTTTATTTTAATATCAACATTATATCTCTGAGACAAAACCTGAGACATATTTCATTAGATAGCTTTGTTTTCCATAAAATACTGTATCCCCTGGGTACCTAACAAGCTCTGTGTAATAAAGGTGTACTTGAGTATTTGTCAATCTAGTCTGATAGTATCTGGACACCATTTAATTAAGAACTCAACTATATTAGCTTTTCAAAATATGACAGCAGTAGCAACTGGAAACATATATTAAATAACCTTCATGTAACTGAGTGAAAAGCACAGAATTACTTACTAAAATATTATTTTAAGAATACTCTTCTTCATCCTCTTAAATTCAGAAGGGACAGTGAAGTTAAAATGGGAGCCCATTCAACTTTGACAGCACCTTTGAATGATCTGATATACTGTACCAATGAGCTCTCCCTACTCAATAGCCTTTAAATCAACAAATTCATAGAGGTACTATAACCGAATTCTTTGGAAAAATTCTGATTAGTCTCAACAGACAAACTCTCATGGCTCTCACTTTCACAAAATATGTCATTAATAAAGTTAATGAAGACTAAGGTTGAGCAGAGTACTTTCATACTTTATTTTTATTTCTTCCTTTCTAAGTCTATGTATTACCACTTTAATTATTTGATAGTTATGTATTACCACTTTAATTATTTGATAGTTACTTAAGAAATGTTGATATTGTTTTGTATTTTAACTAATAATACTGTTATTTTCAAAAAATTTAAAAATTTATTTCAGAAAACTGATGTCCATCACCACAAAAAAAATATAACAGTAAAATCATTCTCATTTTTCAGATGAAAACCCTTATTTTGTATAAAATTATTTTAAAGAGCCAATGCAAAACAAATAATAATTTGTAACTTTAATTTACCACTAAACATGCACATGCACATATAACAAAGTGAATACTTCTAAAACTTTTTTGTCGGGGACTGAGACCAGGACCTTGCCTCCTATGCACAAAACAACACTTGATTGGAACTTAGGGTAAACATCCTGGTTGAGAATGCAGCACACCCGAATCCCTTCCCCCACTCTCTTTCCCTTCCCCCACTCTCTTTCCCTTCCCGCTCAGCAAGCTTTGGCGCCAAAGAGACAAAGAGATGACAATGGATCCCTCCCCTCAAACCCATTGGCCTTTAAGACATTAAACCACCAGACCACCGCCTGCCTGTACTTCTGTGCCGCCCTCAGGTATATATATATGACTGTTGTAAGAATAAAGCTCTCTCGCACGTGTCTCCATCTTTGCCTTCTTCCTCGCACTGTCCCTGGGGCTCTACCCCCTCGCCTTGCTGGTCAAGTCCCCCCCCCCCCGCACTTTTTTTAAGAAGTTGTACCTATAATAAAGACATTTCTTCCAAATTGAACTATAAATTCAACATTTTTCCAATTTAAAAACAAAAAGCTTTTTGAAATAGGAAATTTTGTCCAACAATTACTTGGAAAAAATAAAAATTTAATATGACCAAGAAAATCCTAGAATAAGACAATGATAAAAATCTAGTATAGAAAATAAAGTCAATGGGAATGAAGTGGAAGGAGCTATTCTGCAGTCTATTTTTCTTTTTTTATTGGAGGGGAAAATGAGCATAGAACCCAGGTCCAATCCCTTAAGAAGATACCAGAAAGAGAATTTCAGGTAAATAAATTAATGGGTATTTGAGAAGGGGAGTACGTCTTGATCAATGGCAGTTTTATCAAAATATATGCTCTGTCTAAAATTGCTCATGGGAAACAATTCTGGAATTTAGGAATTTCTTTTTCAGACTAGATTTCCTGGAAAATATCACATATGCTATAAAACTGAGGATAAATGGAGTCAGCTTTTTCTGTGTAAATGCCATACCTATGAATATTTCTTACTGACTTTATGTTTCATTGAAGGCATGCCAACCACACCATTTTGAAACTGTTGAGAAGACAGATGTAGGGATCACTTTAAGATTCAGAAACTCACCATGCTTTGTCTATTAATTTTGTTCTAAAAGAAGCCACTCCACTCCATTTAGAGAAAAAATTAGTTCCAGGAAGAAAGCAAGACCAACACAAGGTGAGTCTAGAACATTTTCTCAGTTTGAATGGAAGAAAATGCTCAAGCAATTTGAAAACTACCACTGAAGAATAGCATCACCAGGGCGCTCTCTGGTGGCAAAACAGGTTAAAGCCCACAGCACTATGAAGCTATTGGCAGCCACTGCAGTACAATTTCCATCTCCACAAGGGAGGTGATCCACATGTCATGGCAGACATCTCCTGCCTGCTGCTCCCCTCACCAGTGTACTTCATCAATCTGCCTCTTCTGCTCCCCACTCTCTCTTGTGAATCCTCTCGCCCTCTGCACCTCTGGCCTGTACTGCAGTTCTTATAAGCATAAATAAATAAATCTTTTAAAAATGATATTACCAGCATCAGAGACAAAAATATATATTTGAATATTGCCAATGTATATAATCCATCATTTGACTGTATTATTCTCAGAACACTGATCCTGAAACCTCTGTGAAACATTTCATGTGTAAAGCATATTACACAGAAGCTGTAACCTCAGAATAAAAACTAATCATAAATTGGATAGTAAATATATACATATGCATCCTAGTAGCTATTCAAGTCAATTTTGCTAAAGATTTTTTTCAATCAGACTATTTTGAAATTAGTGAGATATTGGTAACTGATACATATTAACATACCACATTAATAATACAAAGTATACACTATGAATGTTCAAAGAGAAAATTCATAAAATGCAACCTGTAAGCAGTACCTGGAGAGAGCCAACTGTGGCACCATTCATATGAGTCCAAAATACCAGGGTACATTGAGGTCCTGTACGTGAAATAATAGGTGTGAGGATGTCAGCCGAGTCACCGAAGATTCCATTTGAGCTATCAGCATAGAGGTACCAGCCATCCGTAGAGTTTCTGGGGAAGATACAGTGGGGTTATCAGGTACAAAAAGAAGAAAATCATAAAACACTTTGTCACTGACCATATTTTAATGTTCTATAATATTTCCTAAAGGAATTTACATTTTATAGTATAATGATAGCCTTCAGCAAGAATAAACTTAATACTATTTTGATTTTGAATTCATGGTCCTTGTAATGACACCAGTTGGTACACTGTGCACAAATTACAGTAAAAGCTAGAATTTCCGGGGTTAATATTGAATCACTGGCTTTTCTTTTTTAAATAATTATTCTGTGAATTCTATAATCAGCTTTGTAGAATTTATTTTCATGTGGGTAAAATGAGAGCCTGAGGCACTGAATACCTTTACAAGAGGCATATTAAGAAGGAAATATATGAAAAATTAAAGCATGAAAAAGAGAACAAAAACTTGCCTGGAGTTGTACTCTTAGGTCTAAAAGACTTTCAGATTCAAATTATTCTCTATTAATTTAAGTCAGCTTTACATAAATATGGATTAAAAATAAACAAGGAAAATAACTAACTCAGTCCTGACCTGATCCATGTTATATATTAAATAAGTGGTAGTTGTGAATTAGTTGCTGTAAATAGATAAGGTGTTTAGTGTCCTATAAACCACAGGGCATATGAGTTAAGAATATTTTTTTAAGATTTATTTATTTATGCATATAGAACTGGGGTACAGACCAGAGGTGCAGGGGCAGTGAGAGGATTCACCAGAGCCACAGTGGGGAGAAGAACAGGCAGATAGATGAAGTACACTGCTCAAGGGAGCAGCGGCTGGGACAGGCAAGGTCTGCTACACCACGTGGATCATCTCCTGGACCTGTATAGAACTCACACTGGCTGCAGTTAGCTTACAGTACTGTTCCCTAACCTGTTGAACCACCAGGGATAGCCTGAGTTAAGATTATTTTTAAAAGGCAGAATTATTAATTTGTCTGAATTGTGGCTTAATGACTAAATACTTCCAGATTACATCAGTCCCTAAAGAGGAATATGACCTTTACTAGTTCATAGATAACTAAAATCAAATAACCTGCCAGTGGTAATCTCCCTGGTGAGAAGTGAACCAGGTCTCAGTTTAAATCCATCTCCACATGGTTTACACTTTAGCTTTCCTCCAGTGTGGTATCTGAACTCACAGCATCACCTGGTTCAACAAGCTAGGAGCTTATTTCAAATGATGGGAGCCTCTATCTCAGACCTACTGAGTTAGGAACTCAGGGATAAAAAAGGTAATCTACCTAGAAAATACCTCAGTTTATTAAGGTGAGTCAGGATTCTCCAGTGCAATTCTTACTGTTTCATTATTAATAGGGTTGGGGGGGGGG